GAAGATCCAGACTTGAAACATGCATCTTTCTTAATTCATAATTAATTCTTACAGACCAATCCAACTAAGTGCAATTCTAGACGCTCAGCAGCCGGCAAATCCAGCCCTGCCATCCACAATGAGCCTGTCAGCACTTACCGGGAAAGCAGAGAAATGCCTGGCAAAATAGCAGGTCTGAAAGAGCAGCGAGCTCAACCTGACAGTCTGGACTTAAATAAATTATATTTTCTGGCTGGGGACGATCAGGCATAAATTTGAAGCCTGTGTCCTTAAACGTCATGATGCCCCAAAATGCGGAAAGAGCTGCATCTTGTTCCAAGTTTGTAGAAAATTGTGTTGTGTGTAAATAGTTCTCTGGCCTTTGATGTTAAGCAGAGAGGAAAATAATCCTCTGAAAAAAGCCAGGCAGGAGCGGCAGTCTCAGCGGCCCAGGCTGGGAGGCCAGCAAAGGCATGCAGCCAGGGAACAGACGTTTTGCTTTCCCTGAGCCTCTTCGCCAGCACCTAGGAAGGTAAACTGTCCCCAGCCATCTTAGTTCCTAAAAGGATTATTTCCTCTAATGCCTTCAGGGACACACAAGAAAAATTGCTTAGGTCCAATTAGGTGGGAAGTGAGAAGGCTCCAGTAGAGAACAGGAGGGAGGGGGAGCTGGGCAAAATGTCAGCATGAGCTCCAGCCAGAACCAGGTGAGGCCAGCCAACACGGAAGGGCACTTCCCAGAGCTGCACAAGGAGATGCGTGGCGGCAGCACCTTAACTCTCATTCATTCATTCATTCATTCACTCAGTCATTCAACAAACAGACACAGTCCCTGCCCTCTCGAAGCTGACAGTCTGGTAGGAAACACATCCAACAAATAGTCACGTAAATAACCATCCAGTTACACACTTTGATAGACGCTACAATGGAAAAATGTAAGAGGTATGAGGCTGTAAGACAATAAGTCCCGATCTGAATGAAGGCTGGGAGCCTAGGGGAGCCAGGCATCTCTCTGAGAAAGTGGCTTTCAAGCTGAGGCCTCATCAGGAGGAGTTGTTGGCCAGGCAAAGCATGCCAGAAGATTCTAGGCAGAGAATGCTCTAGGCATGTGGAAATGCCTGGCAGGGAAGAGCTTGCTGCACTTCCTGGGAACTGAAAAGGCCAGCATGTTTCAAGCCCATGAGAGCAGGGAGAGACTGTGCCAGGGACTCAACCGTACAGGGCCCCAGTGGGGACTGGGGGCTTTATCCTAAATGCAACAGGAAGTCACACAAGGATTTTAGGCCTCCTCCTGGTGGTCTCGACTTGATAAAAAATTTAGCCATCAGATATTGTTACTTGGCCACCTCTCTGATTTGGCTGCAGTCACCCTCTGGCTCCCCACCCCTGCTACTCTGGTGACCGCCATCCCTGATCAAGCTCTAACCTACGTCAGCTCACACCTGGCACATTTGCGAGCATGCCCCAGCATACTGCCCCCAGGAGAAGGAGCAGGAAAAATCACATTGACACCAAGGTCAGCTGTAGGAGCTGCTACCTGGGCTAGGATGGGTACGAGCCCTGGCAAGGAGGCAGTCAAGGATGGGGAACAAGTCTCTACTCACTCCCACAAGGACTTGTCTGCTCCCTCTTTTACAGGGAAAGCCTTCAATTCATGAGGCTTCCATTCCCACTGTATCTGCTCAGAGCAGGCACTCTGTCAATGATCAGTTGAAGTTCAGAGATGGGGGGAACTTAGCAACCCCCTAGACCCTCCATCTCTTTTTGTAAGTGGAAAAACTGAGAGAGACTGGTATAAAGGAAAGAAAGAGTCCCATTTGGACACTTTCTTGCTGTATAACCTTTAGCAAGTCATTTCTTCTCTCCTAGGTCTCTGTTTCCTAATATGTAAAGTAAGGTGGATTAGCAATATGATCTCTAAGACACTGTTCAGTTCTTACAATTTGTCATCATCTTCAGATGCTTGGGGAGGGTCAACACCTTCACCAGTGGCACCAGGCGTGCTTGGACAGGGCCAAGCTCACAGCTGATTTCAGGAGCCCACACCACTCTCTCACCCCAGCCCAGTATTCTGAAGTTCAAGGACCAAAAGGTGAAGGAGTTGGAATTTTCAATAATCTGATGCTAAGCTGAAATTTACTTTTGCTTGCAAATGCCTTCATACAGATAGGCAAATTAATATTAGAAGCAATTTTGAAGAGACAGAGAGGATATTTAGAATGTCTACAAAGAAAAGCTCTATTTGAGCACCCCAGAAGTCATTCCAGATGTGTGCAACCCCTTACAATGAATGTGCTAACTATGAAATGCTCTTATCTGTTCATTACAGTGATCCCCAAGAACACGTCTCCAAGGGATAAGTTCATTTGCCAAGTTCAATTGTTATATGTAGTAGTGATAATAAAACCTCGTTCTTTGAAAAATCATGTTTTCTTTGGACTTTGCATTAATTCCAGCTGTTCTTCTCTGCCATGAAGCTGAAAGAGTAGGGCTTGGCTGTCCTGAAATAGTGCAGCTGACCAGGGACTCAGAGCTGTTTTGTACAGTGGAGAAAAACATAGAATCTGATGTTTCGTTAACCCTTCCTATAGGTCTTGAAGGCGAGCAGTAGAGCTTGTACTTTTTTGCAATCCTCATAATTCTTGCGCATAGTAGGAGCATATGCATATGAATATTGATAGATTGATGGAAAAAGCAAGGCAGAAAGGAGCAGTATGTGGCTAGGAAATGTCCCAGTGACAAAAACCCTCATGTCCCTCCAAGGACAGCACAGCAGAAAGAGCACATGTGTTAGAATCAGACAAATGTAAATTTGAATCTTAGTTTTTCTGCTACTAGCTGTGGGACCTTAGGCAAGTCACTTAGCCTCTCTGGGCCTTGGTGTCCTCCTCCGCACCATAGGTGAAGCAATAACTGCCAATGGTCACAGTTGTAAGAGTTAAATGAGATAACATAGATAAGCATCTAGCACAATTCCTGGCACATGGTAGAGGCCTCCCTTCCTTTCTTCTGTCTAGCCATCAAGATTTCCATAAGAAGAAAGGCAGCATCCCACAGTCACCTCTGCTATTTTCTTGCCTGTGCACTGAAAGCTGGGAAACCAAAGAGCCTCCCTGTGGCCTCCATGCTATAGGATGGGACGGTGCAGTGGCGCGTGCTCAGGAAAGGGGCCCAGACCCAAATCTCTATGGCTGCAGGAATCCAATACAGTCAGCCTGGCTCTCTTCCAGCCAATTTTGCCAGATGTAATTTGGCTTCAGCTCGAGGTTCCAAAGCAGTTATATAATCATCATAACCCGCAGCATTTGTAGAAAGCTTTTAAGGTTTTAAAGCACTTTTGCATGCATTACCTCATTTGATCCTCTCAATAAGCTTGAGAGGTGGAAAAGCCAAAGACTGGAACCCCCATTTTATAGATGGAGGCATTGAGGCTGGGAAGGTTTATGTGGTTCACTTAAAGTCACACTACTAAGAAGTGGCCGTGTCAAAACTTGGACGAAGATCTCTGCATTCCTTTCCCTGGGCTTTTCTACACCATCACACTGCCTCTTTGTAATCATACTTTCATCAAGCAAAAGTTGACTGAGCCTCTATTGTGTGCCAGCAATGTACTAAGTGCCTGGATTCAGAAATGAGAGGCAGAGTCAAATTCAAGAGAGATGCAAGACCAACTACTCAGTGAGTGCCATGCAATGGGTGCTGTGATGAAGGAGCAAGGGAAGCGAGTAATCCAACTTGGTCCAGGGTCTCAGGAAGGCTTACTGGAGAAGGAAATGCATTGATCTGGTCTTAGAGTCCAGCTAGAGGTTGTCCAGGCAGAGAGGGAAGTAAGAGGAGTTACTGATGGCAGAAGCAGCAAGTGGAAAGCCACAACTGGTGTGAAACAGCAGCATATGACCCGGGGCTGTTGCAAGTTGTTTGGTCTGGCTCTACCCACTCACCCACTCACTCATTCATTCATTCAACCTATGTTTCTTGAGCACCCCATGTACCAGGCACTATGCTAGCTGCTAGCCATAGATACATCATGAGCAAGCAGACGTAGTCCCTGAGCCCCTGGAGTCTACCTTCCAGTGGATGCTGCTGGACTTGGGCAGGAAGCAGCAGAGTGGAAGGAGAAGGAATAGGTGGAGGGCATGGCAGAAGACTGGGCATGCAGGTCTGAAGTCTAGCCTAAAGAGCATTGGGGGCCCTGATGGATTTTCAGCACAGGATTAATATGATAGGGTTTGCATTTGAAAGTGACCCACAGTCACCTTAGAGGATGGGCTGGAGAAGGTCATCTGGAATCCTGAAGTCCAGCCAGGAAACCAGAGTGATTCAGGCAAAAATGCTTGGGTCCTAAATTCCAGCAGTAAAGAAGACAAAAGGCTAAATTCCAGACAGATATAGAGAGATTACTGATAGGCTCTGCTGGCTGATTGGTCCTCAGGGTAAGGAATAAGAAGAGTGGGCAGAAACTCTGAGTGCCTGGCTTGAGCCCCTTGGCAGATGGCGGTGCTGTTCCCTGGGACAGAAGTGTGAGAGAATTGTCCAGTGGGATGAGGAAGCTAAGGAGGAAGTTCGGTTCCTTCTGGACAAGCTGAGTGCCCAGGGTTTGCTGGAAGCATACCTCGAAGGTATGCTTATAAAACAATGAGTGAGACCAGTGTGTCTGGAGGCCAGAAGGGAGCTCAGCATTGGAGGTGTGGATTGAAGGGTCAGGAGTTTACCGATGATATTTAATGCCTGGAAGTGAATAGGACTTCCCAGGTGTAGTGCTCAGAGGAAGAAGAGACAAAATCCTACTACAACAAGCCCCAAAGGTTATCCAGATTTGCTCTTTGATGCCAGAATTTCACTTGGTAAAAGTCAGGTGCATGGCCAGGGTAAAAAAAAAAAATCACTGGTCCCCAAGAGGGGTAATGGTGACGGGCTGTGGGGACTCTGACCTGCTGTCAGATTTCTGGGGTCTCGCCAATCTCTGGACCCCCATCTGAAGTTACCCATGTGCTTCTCTCTCTCTCTCTTCTCTCCTTCAGGTGTTTACAAAATATGGGAAGTGTTACATGTTTAACTCAGGAGAGGATGGCAAACCTCTGCTCACCACAGTCAAGGGGGGGACAGGCAACGGGCTGGAGATCATGCTGGACATTCAGCAGGATGAGTACCTGCCCATCTGGGGAGAGACAGGTGAGCTGGGCACAGGGACGGGCACTGGGTGATGGTGGAAGGTTGCAGGCCTGACTCTGAAAGGCTGGTGGGCTGTCTTGGCCCAGCCGGTGAGGGACTGCTCTCCAGCAAGGGGCTGGTGACATGCTGGTAAATCATAAAAATGTCCCTGGCTTAGGCTGGGATGCCCTGGTTTTCTCATATTTCACCCTGTGGGAGAGGGATAGGCGATGGGAATATTGGAGAGGGAAGGTAGGTAGGGGGCGGGAAGGCATGGGGGAAGGTTTGAAGTAGCAGGTGTGGTTGGGCAGGTGAGCGGATTGATTTCAGGAGAGGAGGGAAGGATGGAACAGCCTCTTCCTCTCAGTCATGCTGAATATCCCGATTCAGTTAGGAGATCTGAAGGGAAAGCAGCCTGCTGCCCACTGGGGGAAGCTGGAGGGGCTGCGAAGTGTTGGAATACCAAAGGACATGGGCTCAGGGACTTGGCACCGTGCCCGTATGAGCCCCTGGGGCACCCATGTGTATAGACCCTAAAGCTTATTTCATGCATTCATTTATGCATTGATTTCTTCAGCAAACTATTCCTTAACCATGTATGCTACCTCAGGCTTTGCACTCAAGTAAGGATATTATGGTGAAAAAGATCAAGTCCTTGATCACAGCCCAGAGGAGTAGACACAATCACAGGATACAGGGTCAGGGAAAGCACCAAGGGCATCTGAGCAGGGTCTTGAGATGGTCTTGGGTCATCCAGATGGGCCTAATGTAATTACAAAAGTCTTTATAAGAGGGGCTCAGGAAGGTCAGACAGAGGAGAAGGCAGTGTGATGACAGAGGCAAAGACCAGAGTGATGCAGCCACAAGCCAAGGAGTGTCAGCAGCCTCTAGAATTTCACCAGGAAGAGAAGGTAAAGAGGTGTCCAAGAGTGGGAACCGTGGATTGAACGGAGACACAAAGTAAGATTAACACTGTGTTCAGGGCATAACAGGAAGGATTCCAGAGGTGGCTCAAGAGGGGAGCGTGAGGAGCAGCCTGAAGGGGAGCAGGAGGGGAGAGAAAACTCCAGCAGGAGGGAGGTCCTGAGCCCTCAGCCTGGGGCTGAGGAAGGGGTGGAGGCCAAGCAGCCCAGCCCCCACCTCTTACCACCCCTGTGCTTTGAGCCCATTGACTTTGGACTCCAGAGTCTGGCACTCACCATACCCAGGCTTACCAGGCTGCTGAGGCAGCGAGGGCTTCCAACCCAGCATGACTGACTGTAGACTCCAGGCTCTCTCCCCCTGCCCCTCTCTCAGGAACACCCTGATGCAGGGAAGAGTGTAGCCATTTAACTCCCATCACAGCCAGTCCTCTCCTCCTCCAACTGAAAGATAAACTGGCCACACACATGTCACTGCCCCAGTGCCATCTGGCAGCTCACCCCAAGCCCCATTAGCCACTCGCTGAGGAGATGCTTTGTTGAGCCTGTGTATTCAATGCCCCTCCAGATGAAGAGGGATGAAGGTTTGTGCCCTTGCTGATTTCTGGCATCTCTGAGGGCTGGTGGACAGGGCCTACATTTCCAGGGCATCCTGAGGCCAGCCCAGGCCTGAGACTGTGGAGGCCTATAGACAACCCTGGGTCCAGGGCATAGTCTTAGTCCCCAAAGGGAGGCCTTTCTTGCAAACACCAGAACATATTTGATCATCTAACCATGTGTGGAAGAAGAGAGAAGTAAGGAAATGAAATGAGTCATGGAGACCCCACACTCAAAGCCTAAACAGAAGTTAGTTATGTCCTTTCATGGTAATAGTAGGTTTCCCAGCCTGTTATCTTGATTCAGGAGCAAAAGCACATGTACACACACGCACGCATGCACACATACACACGCACGCATGCACACATGCACACGCACACACACACTTTCGGTGCCAGGCCCCCGTCACAGGCATCCTCAAAAAGTGCAGTTCTCTGTGGGATATGCTCTTGGTCTGAGCACTGGCTACAGGCTACAAGGCTACCCAAGAAGTCTGTATTCTGCCTCCCAAAGCCACAGACAGTGAGAAGGAAAGAACCTCTGAGATCATCTATTCCAGGCCAACCTTCTCTTCCCCTGAGGCCTGGCTTGAAGCAGTGATGTCTTTGAAATTGTGCAGTGAGTTCATAGCTGAACCAAGACTGTTCTGACCCAAGCTTTTGGACCCTCAGTCAACCTGACTGGACGATGAGCTATACCAATTCAGGAAAAAAATTCATAATCTTGATTAAGGACTTGTCACATGCTAACACTGAGCAGGTCATCATCAGCAGTGCAGGAGATAGGAGACAAAGACCATACTTTCAGGATCATATAATCTCACTGGGGACACCACATGTGCACACAGGTTCTGCAAGAGAACTCCAGCCTCATTCCTGCTGAGAGTTTGAGTTATCCCTGGGAGATGGACCAGTACACTCAGTGAGACAATTTCCTTTGAGGCTGGGAAGCTGGGGAAGAAGGCTGTGTGAAGAATGGGTTTGAAGCAGGGGCAGGGCGATGGATGGGGCAGAAGAAACAGGTTAGAGAAAAATCCGATCGGTGCCATCCTATAGACCTTTCTGGGCTAATGAAAATGTCTGTCTGCCCCGTCCAATACATTAGCCACTAGCCCCTTGTGGCAATTGAGTATTTGTAAGGTGGCTAGGAGAGTGAGGAGTTGAATTTCCTTATTTCAATGGGTTTTTGAGGAACAGGTGGTGTTTGCTTACACGGGCAAGCTCTTTAGTGGTGATTGCCGAGATTTTGTGGCACCCTTCACCCAAGCAGTGAACGCTGTACCCAATGTGTCATCTTTTATCCCTCATCCCACACCCACCCTTTTCTCCACATCCCCAAAGTGCATTGTATCATTTTTACGCCTTTGCAGAGGAATTGAATTTTTAATATCATTTCATTTTTATTCATTTAAGTTAGAGAGCCACAGAGGGCTAGTGGCCACCATATTGGAGAGCAGTCAGTATATTGGAAAACAGCTTCTGATAACTGTTGACTTCGTGGATTTTGGCTTTTGCAGCCACCTCCTATATTCCTGGGGTCATAATATTCCATATTCCTGGCTTGCCCCTCACCATGACCTTGTGTGTCAGGCAGAACTCCTTGTCCTCATTTTCCAGAAAAGGAGGCTGAGGTTTGGTCACTTCCCCCAGACCCCCTAGGCGGGCCCTTGTATTCATGCATCAGAGCTCCCTCCATCGTACCTTTCTTCGTACCTCTTGGAGATGCTGGTCACCTCAAAGCTGCTTATTTCCTGGCCCAGTGGGCGGTGAGTCCCATGTGGGTGGGAGAGAAGTCAAGAAATCTGTTAAAGGACAAGAGGTGGGCTCTGGTAGGTGAGAGATGCTTATCTGTGAAGCTACCTGAGGAGGCGCAGACACATGGCTGCTTGGTCATTGATCCCGAGGATAATGGACACAGTCATTAGGAGGCAGCCTTCCTGACCTGCCGAACCATATGGCCCCACAGATGCCATCTCACTTCCTTAACATTCCCACCTCTCAACCCCAGAGGAAGGAGGCCAGGCCTAGGAGTCCAGGAGGTATTTGGGTGATGATGGAGAGGAAAGGAATTGAAATGTGCCTGTGGCAGTTTGATGTGCCCAGGCACTTTGATGATGGAGGCAGTATAGGAAGACAGAGAAGATGGCATGACAAGGTCATGCAGACCCAAGACCACAGCCCAGGACTTCCTTTCCTAACTGTGTGACTAAGGCCAAGTGAATGAGCCTGTTTCCTCATCTGTAAAATAGAGACAAATAAAGCCCATTGGCTTTACAGGATGGCTGAAGGGCTCAAATGAGAGTTCTCTGCAAACTGTAAGCAGTGAGAGGGTGATCGTGCCCACCAGCAGGTGGGAAGACAGTCAAAAAGAACTCCAGGAGCAGAGGCTATTCCAAATATCCCACACCTGAGACAGGGCTTTGCAGCATCTCAACATCTGGAGCACCCATTCTGCTCAAAGAAGAGCCTCTGGAACACTTTTGCCTTGCCTTGTGGATGGCTTCACCTCTCAGCAGTGTTAGGAAGCAGTGAGGGAACCACTCTTCTGGGGATAATTCTCACTAACAGGAAGGACCTTTTGGGGAGGTGGTGATGGTATTGACCACCATAGACACAGAGGGTGCCAGGGAGTAAGTTCACAAAAGGCACCCTCTTTGAGTAGACCCAGCTCTATGGGTTCATGCTTAGTGAGTAGACAGTGGCTCTATGAAAATTATCAAAAATGTCCCTTCCTCCAGGCTGACAATGCCCCACACCAGGGTGCTCACCTTGGTTATGCATCTTCATGGGGAGCACCCTGGTAATATGCCATTTTAAAGTAAGGGGGTTAGTTGCATGTGGTCCTAGAGAGTATGTCCCAAAATGAGCACTATGGAACCTCAAGAGTTTTGGATATAACATGTTATATGAACAAAAAGGACCCAGGGCCCAAAAGGACTCTAGGGAATTCTGGTTTGAAAACATTAAACACATTTATTCATTGCAGGAATTCTTTAATATAATACATCATGAATCTCTAAGACAGGAATAGTGCATGCAGCATTTATTTCCCAAAGGCCTTTGACCATGGAAATCTCCTTCTTCATGGAAGAGCTCACAAAATATACTTTTGAAAAAGCTGTCCTAGACTGTAGAAGAACAGATTTCATGGCCAGGGTTTTCTAATGGAAATTAAATTGAAGGCAGAAGGGGAGGTTGTTAAAAATGAAATTCTGTGTAGATAGCTCTAAGTAACTTCAAAGATAAAAGGAATAGGCAGTGGGTTATCTAGGTTGCACACGAGAAACCTGAATCAAACAAGCTTAGGCATAAAGGAAATTGTATTATTCTCAGAATCCAAGGCAAGCTTCAACAACCAGCCAGCAGGAGGGCCAGGGGTGCAGCATCGGGAAGGAGGGGAACCCGAGGCTCCTAAACCTTCAGATCTCTCACTCCTCCTCTCTCTGAATCCCTTTCATTCTCTCACTAGAAACAGACTTATTTTTCCCACACACATATTTTTTCA